GATAATTCTTGTTGGCCCGACCGGCGCAGTCCAACTTCCATTCTCAACCATAGTGTTTATGAGGATTTTTTTTTTTGAGGCATCAATCCACTTCCTCCAATATTATCTCAAGTCTTTTCACTTGGAAAGCCTTTTTACGTTTCATACGCTAAAAGCAACATTATGTTATACAATCTGTCTTCGCTGCCTCACATGCCCAACAAGATATATAGTAACTGGATATTCAATCCCGAGGTTGGACGACTGGTAAAGGCTGAGCTCCTCAAGCCCTTAAACCACCGTCAGAGTCTGTAGGAGCCGCGACGTCAATTCCGTCTGGCCATTGCCTGATTGCTTCCAGCGCAGAGATTGCGCTGTCACGGACAGGAGGATGAGGGTCCCTGGCGCAAATCAGCCAGGATGGTGTATATGGATTCCGAATACCCACTGTAGCAGAGACTCGAGTTGGGGGATGAGTTTTCAGCTCCAAGATAGCACACACAGTGGCCTCGTGACTAGCAACCCGTCCCACCAGCTCACTGGCCAATTCTCGAGTGAGCGGGTTTGGTGATTCGAGCAATCTCAGACCGTGGTCTAGCACTTTTGCATTAACCACACCCTTCACACCATCTACCCATTGAGCGATCTGAAATAATGTGTACATGGCCAAAGTAACCAAAGGGTCTTCACCCACTAACGACTCATGAGGACAGTGTCAAGGAAAAGAACGATGCAAACCCACCCCAGAAAGGACACAAGCTGCACGGAAAGGTTTAGCTGTAAGATAGCGGGTGCAGTGGACTCGTGGCCAGCGAGTTTTCCTGTCAGGTAGCAAGCCCATTCCCGAGTGGTTGAGTTTGGTGATTCAAGCAATAGCAAGACATGGTCTAGCACTTTTGCATGAACCACACCCTTCGCGCCGTCTACCCATCGCGAAAGGTGAGTTAATGCGGCTGTTGCCTCGCAAATAACACTGGAATGTTTGTCACTGAATTAAGATCAGAGCAGGGTTCAGCAAAAGGAGGAGGCTGGCTCACTCCAAGAGGAACACTAGTTGTTTGCAGGGTTCTAGTTCCAGGACGGCCGGTGCGATGGACTCGTGCCACGCCAGGTTTCGTAATAGCCAGCATGAACAACTCCGCGTTCGAGGATCCGGCGATTCAAGCATTGGCGCAATATGAGGAAAAACAGGTGAATCGACGACCGCACGCGCCTCGACCTCAGAGGACTCGGTTCGGTCAGCTAATTCGGACAGAATCACGGCTTTAGTAGCCCACGAGACATAATCCCAACTACAGAATCAGTCGAAAAAGGTTTAAGCTATCAGCCATGAACATACGGAAAATATGACGAGTACGTCTCCAAGACTGTGCTTGTAAGTGGACTGCCGCGGTTCTTTCTGATGATATCCAGTGCCTGGCGGTAATACATCAGTCTCATGAGCGGCTTTGCCGCCGCGTGAAGGTTAATTGTTGGGCCTCTGAGTCCTGGGTTGCTGTCTGACCACCAACTATATATGCTCGGACGAGAGTCCTGGCGATTCAGTGGCGGCATGGAGGGAGAACGAAGAGAGTCAAAGCTGTAGATCGGTGCGACCTCGAGGCTTTCTGTCTGCGGTGCAAAGGTGACATCGGTGATGAGCGCTCAGTTGTAGATAGAATTTGACGCCCACCACATTTGAGCGTAAAGCTGAAGAAAACCATTTCATGGCAAGCATGCAAGTAATGGTCGGTCGGTGCATCGTGCCGGCCTGCCTGAGTTGTTATCCTACCGAGGCAGGACTCGAAGATCCTCTTCGCCGGAGCATCTCGCTCCTCACTCTCGAGGACAGGGTTCCCCGGGGCGTAGATGGCCACCGGGTGATTTCGTAATGATGCTCTCCGAAAAAAAGGTATCTTCTGGACATTACAATTCGTCCTCTTATCCTCATACCATGACTTAGATGGATAAGACTCGAGGTTGTAGTAATCAAGGTCTCGAAGATCACTTCATTTGGATTTTGGTATCAGCTCTATACTCATATCTCTCATTTCCGTACCTACTATATAGCTTTGCGAGCTTGGGTAGCACTGTACGGTGTACGGTGAATGAGCCACATTTTGAACTAGCGCACGCCAGGGCGCAGCGATGGCATGTCTTGGGGTACAGTAAAGTTAGAAAGAGCCCGCACGATCCTGCACGTCCGGCTCATCTTCGCGCTATACACGAGCGGACACGATAGCTTCCCTCCTGTCAATCAATTGCAGCTTTGTACAGCGGACGGAGCATGCACCGCCGTGCCCTACCCGGTCGCGCACAGCCAACGACAGGACTGACAATGTTGCGATACTAGTTGGGCGGGATGCAGCCTCGACCCGAGGCGCCCCTCCCACTCCCAGTACGCAACACCTCCCCGACCGCCCAGGGACGAATCTCCGTCTCGCCCGCGCTCGTACCGAGCCCCACAAGCACGCCCCCCTCCAACTCCTCGCCACACCCCATCATCGGTCTCCCTCCTCCCCCACACCAAACCAAAGCGAGAAGAAAAAAAAAAAGAAAGGGACAATACACACCCGATTCCCCACCGGCACCCCCCGCACCATCCCCAGCAGCGGCAGGTTCGTCACGCTCGTCAGGCTGTCTACGCTCCCGCGGTGCGTCCCCAGCGGCGGCCTCTCTTGGTTAATCGGGAAGGACGAGGGAGGGTAGGATGATGGGCCGGGGAGCGGGTCGGAGACGGAACGCGCTGCGGGCGGGGCGGATAGTCTGAGGGAAGCGGAGAGGGAAGGCGTTAATGAGGATACGAGAAGGGGGTGGGTGAGAGGAGAAAGGAAAGAGGGGAGGGACGGGAAAGGGAAGGAGGTGAGGGAGCGCGCAGCGTTATGAGCGAGAACGCGAACGACCACAGGCTCTCTCCAGTAAACAATCGAGGCGAAACCACTCACCCTCCCTCCGCATTCTGCTGCGCCTCTCTCGCGTACTGCGCCAGCATCGGCGGAAGACGTGGCAGGGGCTGTGGGTCGGTGGGGGCGCGCACTGTCGGGGAAGCGTTAGCGTACATAGCAGGGAGGGAAGGAGGGGGAATAGAGTAGGAGGAAGGTGGATGGGAGGGAGGGAGAAGAGAGACGGGAGGGAAGGCATATGGGAGAGCAAAGAGAGGGACAGAAAAAATGGAAGGAAAAAGCACGATGGCATCGATGCGATTGGCGCTTCACTGCAGGACGTGGGGATAGACCGTACAGTGCGAACCGACGGCGAAAGCGAAGGCGTCTCACGCGTCCTGGCCATCGTCGTTGCGCTCGCGGACGCTGGGGAGCACGCCGCGCGCCGACGAATGCATGGCGTCCGCCGCATCGTTCGAGCACCCGCCGCGACCCGACGCTATTTTCGGTGTGCAGCCTAAATTCTGCTGGTGGTGTCAAGCGTGGACGCTCCCGTCGTGCTCGCACACGTCGCGCTCCCCGTCTACGGGTCGCACGACGCGTCTTCGTCTCCGACGCCTGTCTCGTCATCGCGCAGGGTCCATATCCATCCAGCTGCGTCTCGCCGCCCGGCTGTACCTCATCCACACCACATCTGCGCGCACCGCCCACTGCGCTCGCAACGCCGCGCACACGTCTCCCGCTCCAGCTCCGCCCCCATCCGCGTCCGTACTCGCGACTAGCGTCTACACGGCGTCGTCGTCGCTCCATATCTCCGCGCGCCCACCCACTGTGCCTGTCGATACCGCCGCCATCGACGAGACGACGCGTCTCCCCACGTCCATCGCTCAGACGCGCGCACACCCGCGCCCGCACCGCTGCGCCTTCACCTCCCGCAGACGCGTCGTTATCTCTCCCGCCGCGCACGCGCTCGACGTCGACCAGACCCGCATCGCCCTCGTCTCTCCCCAAAATACAGATAGAGACGCACTCACCAAGTGTGACAGCCCGGACGTCGTCCATCTCACCGCCGTCGCCGCACACCGCACCCTTGATCGCCCGACTCGCCCTCTTCCACTCCCCATCCAACGCCTCCCTCCAAGAACCCGGCGCGGCGCGCGCGGCCGTGGAGGGGGTGGGTTTTCTGTGGGCGAGGATTGGGATTAGTACGGGGCATTAGGGAGAGGGAGAAGGGAGGGAGGAGGAGATATAAGACAAAGGATAAGAGTGAATGAAAAAAAGTCCATATCGTGCGTGTACATCCATCCTATCTCGACCGTGTCTCGACAAGACCCGCAGCCAGAGCGAGAAGCTGCATCCCACCCCATCCGCCGTCGGGGTAACTGGAAGACGACGCTGCATCTGCACGTTGGCACTCGAGCGAAGGAGAAGGCTGAGCGCGTGCGATGCGCAGTCGGCGCAGTCGGCGCACATTAGCAGCAGCAACGGCAACGAGAACGAGAACGTGCTGCGCATCGGATTCGGACCGATCGCGCCACCTTCAATTCGACGGGCGATGCGCAGTCCGCGCACGCAGGCAGTTCGTAACAGCCTTTGCACACTACAACGACGCCTGGTCCGGGATACCCGACGTGTCGACACATCTTCGGCCATCAGCCATCGACCGGAGACGCGATACGCAGGGAACGGCATGGAGTGCAACGGTGATGGTGGGAGTGAGAGAAGAGAGGACAGATACCGTATGTAGTCCCAAAGTGCAAAATGAAGTGATCGGGCGACGCCCAGTGACAAAAAAGTGTCTGTCGAGCGATGCATCAAGAAAACGGAAAATCGAATAGATAGACGAACGCACCGTCTTCCACCCCCCAACTCATATATAAAAGTCCACCACCCGTTTCCCCGCATCGCCCGCGACGCCCAACGCGCTCCGCGGGAGGGCGAATGCTACTGGCGGGAGGGAGCGCTTGAGGTGTTTCTCTTCGTGCTTCGGGTCCTTGTCGGTGGGGGAGCGGTGAGACATGTGAGAGGGTGCATAAGAGGCTGCGGAGGGTGCGTTGCCGGGAGGAAGAGAGTGACTTAAAGTTAGAGAGGTGGAGAGCGTGCTCTGCACAATATTAGCATATATAGAAGATTAGAGAGCGAAAGCAGTACGTACCTATGTCCCTCTTAGCTCAGTTGGTAGAGCGCGTCACTAGTATGTATGCAAACTTGTAATCTTAATGACGAGGTCAGTCGTTCAAATCGGCTAGCGGGAATCCTTTTTGTTCTCCGTCCATTCTCACCTTAATTTCGAAAACCTTCGAGGTACTTCAGATCTCCAGACGCAGTAGTGGATTGTATTGTGTAGTTGTTGTACATACATTGACAGACTCAAAACTCACGAAAAGTCCAAGGGGCAGAAGAAACGAAATGAGATGAGATGACCAGAAACCCAAGACCCAGAACGAAAGAAACTAAGAAAGGGGATAGGACCAAGGACTAAAAACGATGTAGGCTAGCGGCGGGACGGGCAGAGTGCAGGTATGCTATGTATGCAGGTGTGTGGTGTGTATGTATGGGAGGGCGGCTATGAGAAACAGCTCAGATTCAGATTCTCGAGGGGCGAAGAAGGGAGGGAGCGCACCAATAAAACGAATATAAACTACTCTTTTTCGAGTGGGGTGTGTGGGGGTGCTTCGAGCTGCAGCTGAAGCCTCAGCGTCAAAATCAAGCAGGTGGTATGTGGTATGTGGTATCGGTGTCGGTCGGTATCTTGCGCGGTATATTCGGAGTCGGTAGTGTGGGCTAGGGAGGGATGGATGGATCGGGAGGGGCAGTGTCGGCGCTCCGGATGTGTGGGCCGAGGGAGCCCACCCACATCCACGTCCGTGCGGTTTTAAAGCGGAGGTAAGGCGAGGCGAGACAGCAGGTGCGTGTCGGTGTGGACGGAGAAACGAGCGGGCCTCCTCTCCTCTTGTGTGTGCGTGTGCGTCTGCCCCAGGTGTGTAGTACGTCTGCAAAGATCGGCCGGTCGGAGTCGCTTGCGCCCAGAGCGCATTACTCCTTGTGCCGGCTAATCTTCTCCACCCCCGCGCTCAACGCCGTCACCCGCCGCTTCTCCGCCTCCTCCTCGTCCTCATCATCGTCGTCGTCATCGTCGTCCTCCTCTTCTTCTTCCTCTCCACCCGGCCCCCGCGCACCCTTCTCTCCCCCCTTCTGCTTCTTCGCCTTCGGCCCCTCGTCCTCATCCTCGCTGTCCGAATCACTCTCCGAGTCCGAATCCGAGTTGGAGTTGGAGCTCGACGACCCCGAGCTCGAGCCCGCCCCCGCGCCCGCGCCCGCCCCCGTAACGCTAATCGTCGGCACCTCAGGCCCCGCGGCCGCCAGCGCCAACGCCCCCGCCGAGCTCGACGCGCTCCGCGAATGGCCGTGCGCATGCCCGTGCGAGTGGCTGTGCGAGTGCGAGTGCGAGTGGTGGTGCCCGCGGAACCCAGCCGGCAGGTTCACCGCGCGCAGCACGTGCTCCTCGTCCTTGGACGCCGCAGAGTGCCCCGATGTCGAGTTGTTGGTGGAGAGCGCGGGGGGGCAGCAGGCCGGGGATGCCGGGTGTGCCGGGTGCGGAGTGCGCGGGGGACTGGAAGGGCGACGAGGCGTGCGCAGGTGGTGCGGGTGCGGGGGGTGAGGGCGCGGGCGATGTCGACGGGGGAGACGCAGTCATGGATGAGGAAGGCGAAACGAGCGCCGTCAGCCCCGGCTTATCTGCCGTCGGCGTCGGCGTCCCGCTCCCGTCGTCCCTCCCCTCCCCGCCTGCGCCTTCTCCGCCCTGCGCCTCTCCCTCCCCGTGTCCGTGCACCCCCTTGTCCCCGCCCTTCTCTCCCTCCCCACCCCCGCCCCCCACCCCCATCCCCCTCCTTCTTCTCCTCCCCGCCCTCGTTCTCGTTCTCGTTCTCCTTGTCCGAAGTCGACGCAGCCGCCGCCGCCGCCTCCGCCGCCTCCCGCTCCTCCCTCTCCCTCTTCTCCCGCGCCTCCCTCCGCCGCCGCACCCACCCCATCCCGCTCCCGTCGTCGTCGTCGTCCGCCCCGTTGGACGACACGACGCCCATGCCCACCGCGCCCGTGTGCCCGTTCGCCTTTCCGTTCGTCGAAGCGGCGGAAGCGGTGCCGTTCGCAGCAGGTTTCGAGCCTACATGCACCGTGGTGTTAGAATGCGCAACAACAAAACCAGAGAGAAAACCAAAATAAGAAAGGGCCAAACGCGAGCGCGGGCCCAAAGCCATACAAAACGCGGGAATGGGAGCGCGCTTCTCCTATCCCTCCCCGCGCGTCGAAAACCAAGCCCGTCCAGAAGCGACGCGCAAAAAGGATCGAAGCCGAAGTGTCGTCGCAAAAAAGGTCCGTCCCGCCCTCTCTCTCCCTTCCCTTCCCCCATCCCCATCCCCAGAAACACAAACCCGCAAAGCGTACTCCCACCAACAACGAAAAAGAAAAAGAAAAACGAGAGAGAAAGAGAAAAAAACAAAAAAAAAACTCACCCCCCTCCGCCCTGCACGCCCTTCCACGCGACATGGCCGTTCTTCACGCTGCCCATCCCGCCGTACCCCCACTCGACAAACTCGGGCTCGTCGTCGCGCGCGGTCGCAAAGGGGTTGGCACCTGCGCCTGGAGAGATAGTCGGTCAGTTATCGTATATCATATAGAGTGGAGAGTTGGGTAGAATGCACGGGGATCAGGGGGGCGGAAATATGCGGGTAAGATAATTCCGGGCGGGTAGAATAGAAGGAGAGTAGGATGTGCAAAGGGTAACTTAGGATGTGCATATGGAAATGAAAGCCCTAAGAACGCGTGCGGAGAAGCGAGTAGAGCCAGTAGCGCCATGAAAGGAAAGGAAATGAAAGCAGCAAGGTGGGACGTAAAAAAGGGACGCCAGAGTGGGACGACGGGTGGGCGGGCCAGCCCGCAGAGATAACAGGCAAGAAATGCAGGGAAAAGCTGCACAAAGCAGACCCAGAAACAAAGACGGAGGACATAAGAACTCACCATTTGCGCCCCTCCCACCGTACACGCGCCCATTCAACATGCGCGTCCCCCGCTTCTTCTCCCCAAGCGCGAGCGAGTTGGCAAACGGGTTCAGGGCGGGCGGCACGCGCGTCGAGTTGACACTGCTGCTCCGTTTCTTACTCTTCCCGCCGCCCTCCCCGTCCCCGCTGCTCGACGAGCCGATGCTAAACAGCGACCGGCCGCGCTTCTTCGTTCCGCCGGTGCTCGTCGTCGAGACCTGGCTCTGTGTCCGGGCAAGCGGGCTCCCGTTCGTCGCAGAGGCGCCGCTGCTCCACCGCTGGAGGGATGCGCCCCACCCGGGGCCGGCGCCCGATGTGGGCTGCTCGGGCTCGAGCGAGGGCGTGGGCGTGAGGCTGTCGGTCGAGGACGCGGGGGTGGTGCCGCGGCGGAACGGGCGCAGGAGGCTCTTGGGCTTGGGCCAGGTGCCGCTTTTGTGCGCGTGGAAGGCGGAGGGCGGGGCGGGCGCGGGTGTGGATGCGGCAGACGTCGAGGCGGGTGTGGGTGTGGGGGGCAGCGGGGGCAGCGGGGCGGACGCGACAGGGGTGGGCGACGGCGGGAGGTGCGGGATGGGCGAGGGCGGGGGTTTGCTGGGCACGTCGTCGGGGATGGTGAGCTCGACGTAGTCGTCATCGAGGCTGCGGGGGTCGGGGAGCGGGGCGAAACGTATTTTTGTAGGCCGGTGCATGCTGGCGTGGCTGTGACTAGTATGAGAAGAGGAGCTGGAGCGGCCGCTGTCGCTGGATGCGCTGGCGGAGCTGGAGAGGGAGTTTGTGGACGGGCTGAGCAGGATGGACTGCGGCGGGGAGAGCAGCATCGTAGCAGGGAGCAAGCGCAGAGCAAGCGTAGAGATGAAAGATGGAATTTACATGTAGCATCAATGTATCGCGGTGTCAGGAGTCCGCCAAGAGCAATATCCGGTATTCAGCCCTATCGCTGACGTATTCCTTCGCCGGGGCATTCCCACTCTGGTATTTACATTGTCGAGCTCTACAGCTCCCTTCAGAGGGCCAGAAAGGCCACAATATATGCACCTCAAGTCGGCAGCTTGAACTTCCATACCGCCCATCACACTTGCCCAACAACAGCACTCCACAACGAGCTGCCTCGGAGCCCGCCACCGCCTCCGCCGTTGGCCTCCTGTAGAAATGTACTAACTTGCACCCGATCAATATCCTCCGTTCCCGTAACACGCCGCTGCCGCACGACGCGCGTACTTATGTCGGGTGCGTCCCGACTTTGCTCTCTTTGCTGACTATCATCAACCTTTGCCAAGGTTGGCCCTGGTGACTCACTACTACGCGGCTACCCGGCTAGGCGCGCTTACGTACTCGCGTACATAGACATCCCCGGCGTTCCATCTGGCTAACCGCTTAGACCGAAATCCAGAACAGGACTAGTCGGCGCGCTCGCGTGGCGGGCGGCATTCGCCGACGCGAGAGAATCACGAGCCCGCCGTACTCGATCAGTCAAAATTCTAGTAATGTCTCTACACGCTGGGGGCGGACATTCGCGCACACAGACTTCAAAAACACCGCACTCTTCAAGTTCAAACACGGATCTCTGGCTCCTGACAACAACTTGTCCATCTGTCTTGCAACGCCCACAGAAGTATGTGTTGGCTGCGGCCAAATTCTCCCACGCCGGACGTCCTCGAGGCCTCAACTACCAGCAGCCCCAGTAATCGTGTCTACTGGCATGCGAACGTGCGCTGCTGAATAATTCTTCAACAGTTCTCCAAAAATACACAGGGATACGTAGCCCACGGCCTCTCATGCATCATGATCTGAATGTTCCGACTCTGAGTCTGACACCTCCCCGGCGCACGATTTGCCTTCCGAACCGCCAGCCCTCGGATACTCTCTTTTTTAATTCTGTCAGTCGTCTGTCTGTGGCCACAACACCGCCTTCCCCCCCCGCCACCTCTCCCACCGTCCAACATCTCCTCGGAATCGGAATCGGAGCCCAAGCTTTACAGCGCTTCAACCACGGGTTAAATAACTCAAACTTCAGACCTCGAATCTTCAGGTTCTGAAGCGAGATGGAAAAGGAGACGCACTTCGCCTTGTATGTCTGTTTCGGCGCACGCACGCATCTTCGCTTGTAGGCCGCGGATCGATCACTAGAGTTGTTCGAATTCAATTTATGGGAAGTAAGTTTTTCCTACCTATGCCATTGCAGAGACTCCCAGTACCGTCATCCAGAAACCGGTCTTTGACTT